TCCACCAGCAATTTGTTGGATTCCTCATAGTCCTTGCTGTCCAAAGTGACCGGTCGTAGACTAGGTGGGATGAGGGCTGGTGGCAAGGTAGTAGGAAGCTCTCGAGAGCAACCCGAGGCTATCTGCTCATTAGCCAGGTACATTGCCACTATGAATTGTTCCCTGCAAAGGTATATATTTGCTATCGAATCCTCTCGGAGTTCGTTATGTAATGTGTTTGACTGCCAGTACAAAAGTGGATCCAGATTTATGAGTGGAGTTGGAAAGCCAACGTATACTACTGACTTCAGTCCATTATTCAGTGACCTGTTCTGTAAGTAACTATATAGCACAAAACAGTACATGATTTTGGTACACATTTGAAGACGGTACCAACAAGAAAAGATGATGTCACCCACAACTCGACATACACCACTTGGCAAGTGACCTGCTTTTGGGATGTTGTCAACCCCAAAATATAAGAACTAACGTAGATGCAGCAGAAGATCATTGGGACTACTTTGGTATTAGATAGAGCTCACATGATGGCAGCAAGCATTAAAGCAAAACTAAATATAAGACAAAAGCTTTGAACCTAAGTATACTGCGTCTTCCACAAACAGATCAACAAACTAACCAAGGCTATGCAACTTGAGGTACTGGTCTGCCGACCGCCTTTCAGGCCAATAATAAAAGCGAGTCCAAAACACCGGGCTCTATAGAGCACTTTAAAACATGCGTTTGATTTCAGTTGGACTTACTGATTTAGAGAACCGGTGTTTTGAAGATCAACCAAATCCCAAATGTGCGCTAACACGGACTGCGGAAGGTTTGAGTGGATGAAGAAATCACGAACATCAGTTCCGGTGACCATTCCATCCATATTTTTGTCCAATTTTGTGAAGACTGCAGAGTATTGGATTTGCTCAGCCTTGCTAATCGCCCAATCAGGCATAGGTGGTGGTGGCCCGCCAGGTAAACCGGACAAAGCCTGCAAGGGGAAGAAAATAGAGCAGAGCAGTTAGTTGACCGAAAATTTGTGTGGTTATGAGGACGATAATAGGCACTCAAAATCGTCGAAACAGTACCTCGGGCTCAAACGACAGACAATCGATCCAGTGCAAAATTAATACCAGTAGCCATCGTTTATCGCTTTGCATGTAGCTGGTCTATGAATGAATTTCAACAGCCCTAGTCAACATGATAAAGTAGTAGAACAGAAAAACGCTATAAATCAAACATTTACAAAGCACTGAAAAATCCGAACAGAATCAAATTGCTTCCCCTTACGTGAATCGGCACACGGCAATTTCAAAATAACGAAAAAATGAAACCTGCCGAAATCAGCGAAAATGACGACAAAAAGGTAGGTTCCTACATCAAGGTCATCAAAAGACGAGAAATCATTATTAAGAAGCTATCTAGCATTGGAAACAAAAGAGTCGCAAGCGTAATTACCAATTTAACCAAAACGGGCATTCCCTTGAGCAAAGAGACATTTTAAATGAAAATGTTTCAGGTTAGCCAAATGATCGATTTACAATCATCGTATTTTAGCTGATTCAGTCGCTGGCGTAAAGAAATGCACGAAAAGTCACATGAGTTATGGATTTACGCGTCAAAATAGTGAAACTATTGAAAGTGTTCCCTCGACCTACAAGCTTCGTAGCAAACGTGGAAGGTCGAAAGAAGTCACTGCAAAATGAACTTCAGAACGACCCAGAAGTAGGCTTGTGAAATTAAGGAGTGTCTGTTAGGAATAGAGTGACATCGGTAGGGAAAATGGCAAAAGGAAAGCTCACTATCTACTTCCAGTCATTCAGATCATCGCCTGGTAGCATTCGTAGAATTGGACACCTGTGTAATTAGGACGTGATTTCGAGAGAACCACGCTAACTACAGTAGGTACTTGTGCTATAAAAGCGCTGCAAATTATATGAAATAGCACAAAGTGATATCGTAGCCTATTGGCTATAACAGGAAGTGAAGTGCCAAATCAGAGCGGTACCAGAGTTTTAAATAGCGCAAACTGCTATTCCGAACAACTTGCTAAAAGACAATTGTTTCAGCTGGTACAAGCCGGGCAAGTTGAATAAACAAAAGTTCAGCGAAGCCACTCGATAGAGTGAATAATAGCAGCGGCTGTGAATTATAGTGAGGAAGAACAGGCTAGGCTATAAAAGTGATGACCAAACACATTCAAAGTCGCTTGCAAGAAGGCCAAAAAATCAACAAAAATGTAGCCTAAAATGCATAAAAAGCAGGGCCTAAGTCGATTAGCGGAGGTTAACAATAGCCATATTTTTATAACGCGGACCAGATGATACTGATGAAAAACCAAAATGTTGAGACGATTCAAACCCTTGACTAGGCAAATAAGCAAGCGAAAACGGAAATGCAAGTGTTAAAATAACAACGTAAGAGCTATGAATAACAAGTA